AAAGGACACCATTTTGGTAGTGTGGATAACATCCAAAGAGCCACTACGCAGGCTCTGAACACCATCCCATTTGAAGACTTCCAGAGATGCTATGAAGAATGGAAAAATCACTGGGAGAGTTGTGTAAACTTGCAAGATGCATACTTTGAAGGAGACGATGTTCAATTTTAAATTTTTTCAATAAAAATTTTTAAAATATTCTCATTACTTTCTGGACACACCTTGTATATCCTGCCCTACACTCCATGACTGATAAGTATGGGTTAAGTATAATAAGCAAGTGGGACCTGCAACAAAAATGTTGGAGTGTTGTTCTGCACAGGATTTCAGCCCCTACCACTACATTCCATTACCTTCCCCACACTGGTTTTCCAGTTTTTCACCCCTGCTATTCTGTGACCATTTTGCTCACCCAAGGTTTTGCTTGTTTTAATGTAATTCTGTACTTGACATTTCACTAAGCCTGCTTGTACCTCCTTTTTCTGCATGGATGGTGCCATTTGGGCTATGTAAGAAACGATAATAGATCAAGTGATGAGTTCAGTTACTGTACAGTGGAAGCAAATGGTTGTTGCCTCATCATTAGGTTGCACAATTTTTAACCATTCTATTTCTCTCTTTCTCTACCCTATTTAAGATGCACCGGCAGAAGAGGAACCTTCTCCTTGTGCACCTGTATTTGCTCACGGTCGACAGTGTCAAAATGGCACTGAGTGCAGGCCAGGATGGGAGGGGCCCAAGCATGGCATTACCAACTTTGACAACTTTGCATTTGCCATGTTAACGGTGTTTCAGTGCATCACCATGGAGGGCTGGACAGATGTACTGTATTGGGTATGTATGTGAACCCCATCTGTGACAGTAACAATGCAGTACTTTATAATTATGCTTAAAGCATGTGGCTAACATTGCTAGGCTTTTCGCTGTATCATGCTAAAGGAATGATAACTAAATTAATCACTCAAATTAATGTAGTGTAGATTAACAACTTTAGTCTTCTATTCACATTCCATTATGAGAGATTATATTTACTTAAAAGATCTGCACTGTGCTTTTCCTGGTCATTATATCTTTGGTATTGGTGGTAGGGGCTTTCTTGCATATTCCATACAACTTTGTATTACTAAAGCAGCCCAAATATTATTACACAAATAATTGCATTTCACTTAACCATCTTACAATCACCAGAATCCCTGGCCTACTAAAATCTTATAAAGTCACTTGGGTCTTAGTCAATGAAAGACTATCAAACTAGTTATATTTCTTTCAATACAGTACAGAGAAGTTTAAAACACTGATTACCAAATTTTTCTGAATCCAGTAAATTTCTGTCTCAATCACTCAAAACCTAGACTATGAAGTCATCCTCATAATAGCAGGAGGCATACCTTCATAGTACACATCAAGACACATATTAGGGCAGCCAGCAAAATTAAACCATATGTATTATTCCCAGTATGAACATCACAGAGCTAAAAGAAAAATCCAAAATTACCATGCCTTACCCTGGTGAAGTAGGATTGTCCTAAACCCTCCATTACAGAAGTTTATTTGGCATTTGCTAAAGTTTAAAGTCTAAACAGTTCCAGAGAAGAAAATTCTATGACTCTTCCCTAAGCAACCTTTCTTTCCTCCTGCCTAAAATGTACTTTCAATGAAGATATCTGTGAGATTATTTGAAATAATTTCCAATTCATGCAGTGTTGATGTTAAATCTTGCACTTATCAACCAGAGATGTAGGCTCATAGTGAACAAACCATGAGGTTTCGGCAAGGGGCGGCATAGAAATGTTATAATAATAATAATAATAATAATAATAATAATAATAATAATAATACTATCCATGTTTGAAAACGTCATGTAGAACTTCAGTGATTATTGACTTAAAGTATAGTTAGCCAGAGTTATGTTGTCCATGGGGTCGCGATGGGTTGGACACGACTTCGCGACTAACAACAACAAGCCAGAGTTAAGCCAAAGCTAGCTTAAATCTTAAACCAGATGTAGGGAATCTGTGATTTTCCAGGGATGTGTGTGTTTATGTGTGTTCTTTTAATGCATCTCCCATCTGCAGGACATTTGGCCCTGCTGTCTGGGATTGGTGGGAGTTAGAATCACACACCATCTGGATGGCCATAGTTTCTTACCCTAAACACCAGAATTTGATGTGCTGCCTTGAGCCTATGGAGCTTTTGTATCCTCGTTCTTCCCCTTTAACTTCTGTGAGATTAAAGCTCCACACATGAATTGTCCTGTAGGCTGCAGAATGTCTACCTTGATGAAGCAAAAGAAGGAGAGCTTTGTAGGCCATGGAGATTCATGTATACAATGCAGTGCCTGTGTACATATGGTACATTGCACATGCTTAACATCAGTCTATGAAACATATACTATATGATAGAACCACATAACGTTAAAAGTTTAATTGTAGATACCAAAAATTGACCTTAATGAAAATGAGTTTCAAATTCACTTGACTTCTTCCACATGTCTTACCAAGGACTTGATAAGTTTCCAAAGAAAAAGAACTCCACTTCTAATCTTATGCATATCCAAAGGGTTTGCTTCAGCATCTTCTGTGACAATGCAAGGAATCTAGGGGCATGCTACTCAGATTGCTTTCTTTCTAAACCAACTGGTGTCTGAAGTAGCTGCCTGGGTCACTTGATTGTGCATTAGACTGTCCCTGTTGCTCAGTGGATGATAATGACTCATGGGAAGAAAATAGCAAGCCTGCAAAACTGTTGTAACAGGTATACACATTCTGACCTGTAAAGCTCCCTTCTATGCACTAGCATCTTTGAAACTGCACTCTGGAGCATCACTGTAAAAGCTAGCAACTGAAGCTCACAGTTGCCCTGGAAACTCCAGTCAAGAAATCAAATTGGGGAAGAACCAGGCAATAAATATAATCTAGTTTAGTGACAACCTTGACATGTTTTGTGAGCAACTCTCATCCCTCTGCAGCCTGCTGAAGCTCATTGAGGAAGATGTGATAAGGAACACAGTGATGTTGCCACCAAGTTTTAAAAAATGCTATAAACAGAACCATTACCCCACAATTTTCACCAGCTGTGTTTGTGCTTTCTCACCCTTTATTTTAAGAGTGCACAGACTTGACTTGGCATGGCCTTTCCACACAAGAGGATGATCTGTTTTGAAAAATGCACCTCTCTGCATGTTTTTTGTATGTGTCCTCCTCACCAAGAAAGAATTCTTTTATGTTGATTTGTTTGAAAGGGGAGAAATGATAAGCATTTCTGCTTTTGGCAGGATTATGAAGTAAGCATAGAATAAATCCAGGGGAGGGGAGAAAGACCCAGTCGTCTCTGATTAATTCTCTGTCTTCCAAAAAAAAAAAAAAAAAGATGGCAGGTCTTGGGTGCTTATGTTTTGTGCCAGTGAGGAGCCATGGTGCCAAAACAATTACTGACAGTCCTAGGGGGCATAAAAATTACTGACTGCTGTTCATTTTTATATGTTGCTTCATTTTAATTGTTCAGATTTCATAGAGCATATTTGAAGTTAAACAGTGGCTATGTGGTCAAAGACTGATCAGAACAATTTTACATTAGCCAAGCTACCTAGCTTTTCTTTCAGAAATTCATATTATTGTATCTTCTATAAGAGAACTATAAATGAATTGGATATGAGTAGCCCAAGCAAAAATTTTGTTCTTGAAGTGAATGGGAAAGGCACAGGCTTCTCACAGCCTCACTGTGATCACCCAACCTGTATAAAAGGGAAGGCATTTTGCAAACTATAGTTTGTTTGTGCCTTGCACACCAGAATTGTAAATCAAGGTTTGATCCAGTTTGGATATAACAGCAAACTTTAAATTATACGATGGGAGAGGAGAGCACATTATCCCATAGCTCATTCCAGACTTGTTCACTAAGCTCCAAAGGATGAATTAGTATTAGATCTGACCAAGGCTGGTGTAATATATTGAGAATTTCTTTGAGACAGGTAAAGAAGGTCTCTATCTAGTGTCCTGCCTGGGAAGGTTTTCTTTAACATTCCTGTCTTTCTCTTGACCTTTTCATTCTATTCTTCATTATTTTGCTATTCTGTTTCTAACCAATGCTTTTGCCATTACTGTGACACTTTCTCCAAAACAGTTGTTCCTAAATATAGATAAGAGAGTTCATAACAGCTATAGTTTCTTTAAAATGAACTATTTTACCATATTTAGTGATTTACCAATGATAGCTAGATAAGAGATCATAACTCAGTCATAGAAGTCAGTCATATATTTGTGCAGGAGGCCTCAGCTTCAGTTCCTAGTATCTTTTTCTAAACCTTAACAAGAGATAGGAAGGATTCCACTGACCAAAGCCCTGAAGAGTTCCACAATGGGAGAAAAGTGGATGAAATGAATAAGGTGGCTTCATAGATGCTTACCTTGTGTGCCTGTGTGTGCTTGTTTATCAGAAAGACACCAATATGTAAATGAACTGGGATTAGACACAATTAGTGATGCTCCAACAGAACATCCTCAGAGAATTCTTCATAAGTCTTCTCTTTTGCATTTTCAGTACTTGGTCATACATGGTTTTCAGGTGCTAAATATGCTAAAATGTGAATTTACTTTTAGAAAAAAACCCATATATATATATATATATATATATATATATATATATATATATATATATAATCTTTTGATCCATATATTACCTTGAACTGAACACCAAACTATATTCTAATACATGCCTGAATGATGTTTATGTTGTATCTTGAACTCTGGAAATAGAGGATGGAGGATTTAAAGCCTGTATTTCTTATTATCTTTATTCCAAGGATTTTGATTGACTATGTAACTCAATGAACAATATATATTTTGGTTCTGTTACATGCATGCACTCACGCACACACATACTTATACACATACAAACACACATGTTGGCAAATGGAAAATGCTGGACTTTGATTTTCAGCATTGCATCAGCTATCAAAGTCCAGATCTCTCTCTTCCCCCACCTTATGACTAGCCTTAATAAGCATAAATACAAAATAAACAGAAGCAGAAGTAACAAGTCCCTGGTCTTTGAATTAAAATATAACATTCAGAGACCTAGTGTTTTGAAGGTATTTTCATGCTTCTAGTCAGTACTTTCTCCTTTTTTGAGTGAATTCCCAAAGCTTTTAAAAGATGAAGAGATTTTTAAATAACTAAGGTTACTAAGCAGCCTAGACAGAGACAGGGTAATGCTGTAGAGCTGGCAATGAAAGAATAATCGACTATCTTGTGTAAATAGCTTCTGAGCTTTATGAGTATCTTTAAAAAAATCTATGTGGGGGAAGGAAGCTATTTTTCTATTGGAAAAAATGAAAAATAAACATGCTGACAATTTTGGCCAAGGTGACCTGTTGGGCACATGCACTGTGATCAAAGTCATTTTGAAGGTCCTTATGAAATTTGTGCAGGTTACACAAAATTAGTGCTAAAATTAAATAGAGTGGCATAGTTGTCTGTGACAGGGAGCTAAAACAGGTTAAAAGATATCTTGGCTCCTTATGAAAATGAGTCCCCATAGGGAACTGAGGACAGAACTCAATTTATACAGCCATATCTATTATGTAATATCCCATGTGTATATTGTATGAAATGGCTGCCAATGGTTAGGAATAAGAGAATCTTATTTGTAATTTCTTCTATTCTTCTTTGTGGTCTCTCTGCATCACACAAATGAGCTCTGTGCCTGGGTGGACATTTGTTCAGGAAACTTAAATAGCTGAGGAATTTTAGTGGGAACCCTCCCCAACCATCCCAGTGTCCATATCCATAGGGGTTCTTTCACTGCCTTTGTAGTTGCTGGTGGAAGCTTTTCTT